CAGCAGAACAGGCAGCATCAGTAAGATGTGAGGACAGATGATCTGATACATGCTTAGAGGTGAAGTCAGAATGAACCGACGGCCATGCTGAGAAATGGGGCGCCTGGGGCCTGACAAGCATCACTAACGCCCAGAAAGGAGAAAGAAGACATCTGTGAAACCACAGACTTGATTCTTCAACACTCAAGCCACGACGGGACGCAATCAACCTGCATTTGCCAGGTTGATGAGACGACAACGTCCTCATTCATCTTTGTGGTCCTCAGTGAGCAGAATGTGAGGCACCCTCTACATGCTTCAGGTGGAATGAACAGTGACTGGACCAACAAACGGCTGAAAAAATAAAAGCTACACAAACTACAACTCCTCGGGGCTTTAGGTGAAGACGTAGGAGTGTGAAAAGAAATGAACACAGAAAATGTATGGCTTCAATGACAATAGTCCCAAAGAGAGATGAAGCCAAGGGTGTCTCAGGGACCAAGGAAAAACAATCAAATCAGAAATACACAAGAACAACAGAAATTAGGACACTAAAGGCTCCATTTTGCTCTTGGAAAATATTGATTTTAAAGAGGTTTCACAAGGTCTAGTGAATAAGCCACATTCCTGGGAAAGAAATAATAGATATGAATATCCTCAGAAACGTTTAAAGCAGTAAACAAATGGAAAAAATATATTTTGGGTTTCTAGGTCTAGTTTCTGAGATTCTACCAAGCCAGGTCTCAGACGATATTTAAACTCAAGTTAAAAGAGTAAGTTAATTATTTGGTAAATCAAGCTTTGTAGTCAATCAATTTGACCAATTAATTTGTATGGCCGTTTGAGGCAATACCAGAGAATTCTTTACCTTTGCTTTAGGCCCATTTATACAGCATGATACGACATAAACAGCTCTGAGTCAGTGGATTTAACAGAAAGTAAAAATGGAACGAAATGGCTGATTTTAGAAGGACTAATGAGATTCTGCCTAACATTATGCACAAGCCAAATTCTATGCTACATGGATAAAACAGGCCCTCCAGATGGAGAAAACATAAAGAAATGAATATTAACTAAGAAGCCGCTATTTCCCAAACATTATGCTGGGCACTTTCAGAAATATTACTTCATTAAGAAATGCATTTATGAGCTTGTTTCTCAATGCATATATTACAAATTAACTGAAAAGTTACCAAGCCAAGCATTTTAGTTCTCAAATTAGGCTGTGTTAAACAGGATCTTCTATTACAGAAAATATTACTAATTTTGTTTTTCAGAAGCTATGTTTGAGTATCCACTCAAAGTGCTAAAACTAATAAGTGTGTTTTCCTTTGTGTTTTGTTCTGTCCAAGTTGTATGTAGAGAAAGGCTTTAGATATGCTACATCCGCAGCTCCAATTCATGCTAAATTTGATTCATGTCAGGCCATCCTTTAGCAGAAACTTCAGGTAACAGCAAGAGGCTATGCCGGTCTAAGATATCCAAGGAGCTAAGATTCTGGGGCATCTAAATACTGTCCTGGTGATCTCATGGCACATGGCTGCTAGAAGTTGGTGGGGCAAGTTCTCGACTCCTTCCACAAAGCCTCTAAACCACTCCTTGGTCTCATTCTACCTGCCACCACCTGTGCTATCCTGGGGAAGGCCAGCACACCACAGAGCCACTCGGTCCTGGAGGCCACCAAGGTTACCCTGAGCCCCACAGTGGGACTGTGAATTCACTCTGAGGTCCCAGCAGTGCACAGGGCTCTTGGTTGGTTGAGTAGCCACGGCAGCCCAAATGTCCATGACCGTCTACTTCAGCTTAAAATTTTTGGTTAACTTGAATTTTATGTTAACTTGAAACAAAAAAGAAATGTAACTGTCTGCCTTTTCAGCCCTTCCCAATTGTAAGAGAAATGTAAGGAAAAATGTCTCTGGAGACAGATATCTGCAAGAAAAACAAAAGGATTCTGTGGCAAAGGGAAGGGAAAATGAGTTCTGTGATCTCGTTTCCACATTCCTAAACAGGCAGCAATGGGGTGAGGCCAAGGCATCGCTTTGAGAAGCCTCATCTCCAAAATGTAAGAGCTGACACCCCCCAGGGCGAGCTGCACAGAGGCAGCGTTAACTCCCGTCAGGCCATACGCCAGCGGATGTGTAGCTAATGCTGGAGCTGCTCCTAACTTCCCAGTGCGTCATCTACGCCACAGGTATATGGCAGTACACCAAGCAGATTTCCAAAATTTACACTCATTTCCTGAGCCAGGAAGAAGAAACCGTCCTAATCATTTTGCTGGGAAATTCACTTAGAGGATACAGAAAGAACTGGGTTCCTGAGAGAGGGGGCTGAGGTTCCAGCAAGTAAGTCTATCTTGCCCCCAAATAACTTAACTCTGCTCCACCTGCTTCTTGTTCTTTGTCAAAATAAAATAAATGCAAGCAGGCTCTGTGCAAACCAGGCTATCACTAAAGGGACAATATGTTCAACTTTGGTAGTAAGGTGAAAATCAGAGGGATTCCCAATGAACCATAGGGGAAATGGGGCTACGTTACACGAAAAACATGAATCTTTAAACTCTATGTCAACACTGTTTGGGAGCTGAGCCCAACAGGCAGGGTGTCAAGATTCACGTCTCCCCAGCATAGTTGTCTCAGCACACAGGCCCGCCGGGCAGACTTGAGTGGAACGAGGGGTAGAAATGCTCACACCACTAATGAGTCTATCTCCTTTGCACGCTCACCATTTTGCTTGCTCAGCTGAATCTAGTCAATTAAATTAAGCAACTGCCCTCTTATAGACTAATTCAGTTCTAGAAGGTCAAGCTACCACAGTCTGCAGGAAGGCTGTTCAAACTGGCAGGGTTAGTTATGAGGCAATAAGGATCATAAAGAATTTCAGGCCCAGAGAGACTATTATACTTAGTGAAGTCAGTCAGACAGAGAAAAACAAATACTCTATGTTATCACTCATATGTGGACTCTAAAAAAATAATACAAATGAATCTATATCCAAAAGAGAAACAGACTCACAGACACAGAAAACAAACTTATGGCTACCAAAGGGGAAGAGGAGGTGGAGGGACAAATAGGAATTTAGGACTAACAGATACAAACTACTACACATCAAAAAAATTAGCAACAAGAATATACTGTATAGCACAGGGGATTATACTCACTATCTTGTAATAACCTATATTGGAATACAATCTGCAAAAAAGGTAACTGAATCACTCTGCTGTACATCTGAAACTGAAAAAAAAAAAAAAAAAAGAAAAAAGAGTCAGGCCACACTTCCAAGCAAGACAGGCTTGTACTTTAGAAGGCCGAGGACCAGAGGAGAAAATAATGCTTCTCCTATATTCCATCCCATGATAGTGAATCCCGTTCTGTTTGCTTTACACAGACCACAGCCTGGTATGTTTGAGAGTCTGCCTGTTTTGTGTTGGAAAGGGAAGAGAATCAAGAGTCTGTAACATGTCAGAGACATATGCCAAGACAACAGGGAGGGAGGAAAGAACACAAGATACTTGTCCTCTTTATCTGGGGGACGTTGACAGAGTCTGCCCACAAAAGAACTGAAAAAGAAACATTTCTGCCACAAAAAGCCAGGCATGCTCGTTAACGGTGGGGCAACAAGGCTTCTAGAGAGGACTTTGGATAATGAAATAGGAGTGAGAGGCCCTTTGCTTTCTGCTCACTCAGCTGTGTGCCCATGCGGGATGGAGATCAGAGAGCCCAGCCCCACTCAGCGAAGAGCTTCGCTGCTCACGGCTGTGTCTCAGGATCCATCTGACAGCTTGGCCTCCGCTCACAAAACCTGAATCATCTTCTTGGTTCCACACAAATGAGTCAGAGGCTAAAGGACAGGGCCCAGGCCCTCAACGTGAGACAAGCGCTGTTAACTAGGCTCTATCAGTTGCTGAATTAGAAATGCACCAGGAACGGTACAAAATAAGCATGCTGCCAAAAACAACATACGTCCACCGAGCATTTTGTGCGTATGAACTCACTCCACTCTGACAGCCCAATGAGGAAGGGACTATTTCCCACCTCATTTTGCATGCCAGCAGACCTGAGGCCCAGAGCCTAAGCCACACGGTAGGGAAATGGCAGAGTGAGGACGCGTGCCCTGCCTCTCTGGCTGAGGGATCACTTGTATTGCTAGACCACCTTCCAAACAGAGAGGACCCATCACTTGCTACCTACTAAGGGTAGGCCAGGCTCTCTTTTTACCTCTTCACATAAATGGCTCACAGTCACCCCTGGAGGACACTGAGGCAGAGGGTTGAGCAGCAAAGCCCAAGGTCCACTACACTGCGAGTTCAGTAACTAGTGAGCATCCAGGAAGTGGCTTCTCCAGGATGTCAAGTGAGGCAGTCCAGCTCCACAGGACCTGCTACTGACCTTGACACCACACTGCTGCTAACATCTTGTATCATCTGCACCACAACCACGGAGGGAGCTGTTCACACCCTCCTCTGACAGAGCTGAGGCTCAGCATGTGGAATGAGGCAGAGGCTGAGTTTGTCCCCAGTCAGTGTTCTTTTTTTATTTTGCGATACGTGGGCCTCTCACTGTTGTGGCCTCTCCCGCTGTGGAGTACAGGCTCCGGATGCGCAGGCTCAGCGGCCATGGCTCACGGGCCCAGCCACTCCGCGGCATGTGGGATCTTCCCGGATCGGGGCACGAACCCGTGTCCCCTGCATCGGCAGGGGACTCTCAACCACTGCGCCACCAGGGAAGCCCCCAGTCAGTGTTCTTGATCACGACACACAGATGATTCATCAGAGGGCCAGGCCCCCCAGGAACCGAGGGGAACCTTTTCCCACAGTCAGCTAAGTGCCCTCTGGGTTACTCCAAACAAAAAGTGATGAATAACATCAAGGCCTCCCATTACAGCCAAGTTTCTTACAAGAGAAAAGACTTCCCCCAAAGCCTTCACCTGTTATTGCCCAAAGAATGATGAGGCACCCCAAAAATCTTAAACTCCACCCCCCTTCCCTCAACACACCCCAAGACAGTTAAACCCTTTGCACTTACGCTTTAAATGCTGGGAGGTAGGAGTATATAGAAACGCTGCTTAGGTTATAAATAAATGGCAGGTGTTTTCTGATATCTGCTGTTGCCCAGCTGCCAAAAAACGTGTTCAGTAAACCCTGGTCCCCACCTGGAAGAAAAAAATGCATTACAGTCACATACTTCAAGGACGGGTCAACAATTTTATAGGAATATATAACTGGACCTTTATAAACAGGTACTAATTCCTTCTTTTTTTTTTTTTTTTTTTGGCCACGCCGCACGGCTTGTGGGATTTTAGTTCCCTGACCAGGGACTGAACTGGGCCCTCAGCAGTGAGAACATGGACTCCTAACCACTGGACTGCCAGAGAATTCCCACTAATTCTATTTTTAAAATAATAAATTCCATGTTAGACCTCCTAAGGATATTTTAGCGGGTGGCCAGTTCCCTAAGTTAATTCATTAACTGAACAAATATTGGTTGAGCGGCTACTATGTGCCAGACACTGCACCAGGCACCGGACAGTCAACCGTGAAGAGCGACACGGTCATCATGTCTATGACGGTCTGGGTGGAGTGGGGGTGGGAGGCACTGCTATCAGCGAATCAAGAGTCAACAACACCGTCGCACACGGGGATGAGGGCAGAGAAGGAAAGTACCGGCTGCTATGAGGCACGTGCAAGTGGCCTGAGGCCAGGTCTGATGGGCCGGGAAGGCTTCCACAAGGAAGCTGTATTTAGGCCGAGATCTGAGGGGGACACAGGAGGGCTTGACAAATGCAGGTGGAGAGAAGGAGGGCAGACGGTGCTCCAGGCAGAACACACAGCACCACAGACCTGAGGTGGGCAGGACACGCAGCTACAGGAGGAAGACCTGGAAGGCGGCCTGGGTAAGTGGCCTGCAGAGCGGGGCAGGGTCGCCTGGTACCAGGCGAGTCTCTGAGAGGCAGGCACTGACTAGACCACACTGGGCCTGGATTTTAGACTTCATCCCCAGTTAAAGATTTTAGACTTTATGTTAAGAGCAATGGGACAGAAAAAGAAGTCAAAAGCAAAAGAGGGCCAACTGGGATAACTCAGTTTGGGATAAACTCTGGAACTGTTTCTGGAGCCCCCCAGTGTCGATGGAAGGCTGACGGACGGCAGGCCACGTCACCCCGGCACACCCTCCTGCTGCCGACCACGCCTCCGGGCAGGTGGAGGTCAGTCCTCACTGGGCCAGGGTCAGGGTCGGCCACTAGCACACTGCACAGTGCTTGCTCAGACCTGGGGGAAAGTGAGGGCCACGGCCATTCATTCAAAAGAATTAAAAACAATAAAAACCGAAACAGCTAAGTATCTGACCTAAATCATAAATATACAAGTAACCAAACAGTCACTAAGCCATCTGAAAACACATTCCCCCACGTAGCCCACATGCTTCCCGTCTTAGGCTTACGAGATTTCAGGAAATACGCACAGAACCAGTCTCCCATGCAGCGGAACTACAACTCGGGATTGCGGGTTGTGTGCATGTGTGTGTACATGTGTGTAGGGGGGCGGGTGACAGGCAAGGAGAACCCTGCTCTTTCAGAGCATGAGGCTGGTATACTGTAGTTACTTCCCTCCTTGGTCTGCTCTGCCCTGAGACCTAGTTTCCTTTCTAAACATACAGTAGGTCCAACTGGCTGTCATTATTATTTGGTTTTTCTTGGTTTTGAAAGAGACTTTAAAAATCTGGAGAGGTATTTAGTGTTTGGAACTAAGCAGTAAGATTGGGGCATTAGGTTTAAAGTCCAAATGTACCTTATCTATCCTCTGTGTAGCCCATCCTTTCCAAATACCCTCGATCAACTCTATGGATCAAAGGCATTCACTGAACAAATGTCCATGGGGTGACCCTTCTGTATAAGGAGGCTCTGACAGGTCCACATTCCTCAAGGGACAAATAGCTCAACAGAGGATCAAGGTTTCACCCTTGAAAATTCTGAAGGACAATAAGGATGGCATCAGGATATGCCGTACTTGTTTAGCTACATAGAAGATTTTAGCTACACACACAAATTAACGTATTTTGAGACATAAAATTTTAAGCCAAAACACGATACCACTCATCAGAGGCTTACTTTGGATTCTAAGAAGTCCCCCAGATGTGGGCACAGACACTGATGGCTGAGGTACAGAAGCCTAAAGTCTTACTATAATAATTTCCTTTTACACATAAACATCAAAATAATGGTTGAGGAACTGTTCATAGCAGCTTTATATGTAATATTGCAAAATTGGAAAGAGCCGAAGCATCCTTCCACAGGTTTATGAGTGTGACACCTCCATACAACTGAATATTACTCAGCAATAAAGAGGAACAGATTATTGATACTGCAGCAACTTACATGGATCTCAAGAGAATTATGCTGAGTGAAAAACTCCCTTCCTGCAAGGTTACATACTGTTATGATTCCATTTGTACAACATCCTTCACATGTCCATATTATGAAGACAGAGAACAGATCTGTGGTTGAGGAAGAGTGGAGGCCACGGCTACAGAAGGGCAGCAAGAGGGACCCCTGTGATGGAACAGTTCTGTACCTTGATGGTGGTGGTGGTCACACCAATCTACACATGTGAAAAAATTGCATGGAAAACATATACACACACGCAGACACCAATGAATACATTTAAAACTGATGAAGTCTGAATACGATTGGTGGGCTGTATCAATTCCTGTTGCAGAATTACAGTTATACAAGATGTTACCACTGGGGGAAACTGGGTGAAGGGTATATGGGGGTCTCTCTATACTGTTTTTTTACAACTGCATGTAAATCTACAGTTCTCTCAAAATAAAAAGTTTCTTTAAAAGTCTGAAGATTAATGTAGCTAAAATGCAAAATACCATCAAGAACTGTTAGTCATTAGATTCTAGATTCCACAAGGACAGAGATTATGCCTCTTTTTGCTTATCACTGTAATTCTAGCAGATAGCAGAATGCCTTACAAATGGGTAAGTTATTTGTAGAATGAATGCAAGAACCATGAAGATGTTTGTTAACAGCAGAAAAGTTGAAAACTTTAATATTCCACCACAGAGGAATGGTTAGTACACTGTGATACTCATCACTCACTGAATATTGTTCAGCCATTAAAACCAGTGGTTTTAAAGACCATCAGTCCACTGCATAATACACAGATATACAATGACATATAACATGATTATTACTAAGAACATAAACATTCCTACTAGAAGAAAATAAACAACAGTAATTGTGTGAGGGGATTGGTGTTAACAGATGTTCCCTCCCCCTGACTTTTCCTTAATACTGTTACGTTATTTTTGTAATTCTAAAATATTAATAATACAATTGGGGCAGGAATGAGAATTGTGCCAAGACTGTTTCTTTCCAAACATTTGCACTTATTTATTTTCATTATGAAATATATTATCAAAGGAAAACTGTAAGTGTAGGTTATAAAGCATACTAATAATAACATTAAATATCTCCAATATCCAACTGAAAAACTCAAACATTACCAATACTGTTTAAATTCTCTGTGCAGGCTCCCTAATCCCATCTCAGAGGCCCCCACCCCAGAAGTAACTACTTATCATGAATTTTGTTTGTAATTATCTTGATTTCCTTTATCACATGTATGTATCTCCAGACAATATATGTATTTCCACTTGTTTTTGAACTTTGTAAAACTGGGCATCATACTATGTATTTTTTCTACTACTTGTTTTTTCCTACCACATTTAAAGACCTTTTGAAAATTAAGCATTTCCACTTAAAATGACCACCGACCTCATGTAATGCAGTGAAGGAATCTAATTCCATGATGTTGGAACAGTAGTTGTAAAGCAGAACTTCCCAGTCTGACAGGGTGAGCCTGAGAAACAGGAGTCAGAGCTGTTGATCCCTCAGGGCCCCTGGCTGGCCAGCCACAAAAAGCTGTTCCCTTTCACCCTCAGGTACCCTACAAATACCATCAGTCCCTCAGCCGTGTGCCACGGCAGGGCTGAGTGGCACTGGTAGGATAGGAAACAAGCAAGAAGTGGAAGAGGCAGGACAGGAGACGTGTGAATCAACGGTACACGTTCCAATGGCAAATCCTTCAACACTCAACAAGGACCCTGCCTCTGCAGGGCACAGAACATACAGACCATGAAACTTCCATGGCCACTGACCTCATCATTATGTGACTATGAAGGGTCACCATTTAGCCAAAAATTGTGGATTAAAAATAGAATTAAACACCACCTAGAAGTCTGTGGCTTCTTAAATAATGTTTAAATTCAGCATTCTAACCATCTTTTTCCAAATACACAAGTCTACATCTCAAAGTCAGGCACAACGACGTTTTCATTTCACTAAAAAAATCTGTGTGGTGTTATCAATATCCTCTCTTTAAAAGTCCCTAAATTAGAGCACAATTTAAAGCAGAATGCAAATCTAAGCACATCTGTGCTACAAAACATACAAGGATGTCATGAAGGCTGCTGCGTTTTCACTACAAAAACCCCAGGACTTTTGCCCAGTACATTCTAGTCAGGCTTCCAGAGGCAACTTTATTTATTTTGACAGGTTAAGACACTTTTAATCTCAATCATCTCAGAAACAACAAGCAAGATAGCAGACATGCCAGCAGCTGTGATCCAGCAGGCGAGGGTGTGGCAACACAGGTGAGAGACAGAAAGGAAATGGAACAAGAGACACATGGCACCTGTTTTGCAACCAAAAGCTAATATCAGATTCCATATCTTCCTTCCCCCAGGCTGGCCAAGTGCCAGTAATAACCTTACAACCACCCGGTATTTTCCAGGTCTTTTGACCAGAGTCATGAACTTGGTAAACATGGACATACCACAGTATTTATCAGAAACGGTGGCCATTATTTTATGAGACAGAAATGGAGTTGAGTGCTGTTTTTTAAATTTGTGCACTTGTTCAATGCTTATGTAGTCTGTGTGCTTTTCCAGTTTGTTGGCAGCTGGCTTGCCTACTGTGGATAGCAGGGAGGGTGGGTCAACTTTGGTTTAAACATGAACCCTAGTTTCTCAGCCCCAAGGAAATGGTCCCCTCAAAACAAAGTTTAGGATCCAGAAGCAGGGGAATCACCTGGGAGCCTGACAGAAATGCAGAATGGTAAGCCCCATCCCAGACCTACAGAA